GATTCTAACAAAAGCAAGATACAACATCAAAATGAGGTTATTACTCATGAAGCGGATTAATATCTACGCAGCTAATTGTATTTATCCTAGTTTTTATGGGAATTATAAAGCTCAAGTATACATGCGCATAATAGAACAAAAGATGTTAGTAGGCATTTATGGCAAATCTGTCAAGTCAAAAGAACGCAGAAACGCGTTCGGTTATTTTAAATAAAGAAATAATACAAAGAATTGAACATGTAATTGTTTTCGCTAGCTTGGCGCGGTGAGTAGAATTAGGCTGGTCTTGGGAAATTTCCTAGAGAATTTTCCTCATCTAACTCATTCCAAACTAATTAATCCTACGAAACCGGCGGTTCGAAACAAATTAGAGGCCTATTTGTCGTTCTAAATTAACAGAATGTTTTAAATCCCAAATAGGGTGTTAAGAGGAAAATGCTAATCGCCCGGGCGGTGAGGCACAGTACGCAAAACGTGGGGTTAGGTTAGGGTTAGGGTTAGGGTTAGCTGAGGGATTCAGGGTTAGAGTTATAAAGGCCATGTCTAGGCCACGGGAGGAGTTATGACTGTGGAATTTTCTGTGAAGATTTGGACTTTGAATTCGGCGAACTGAATTGTCCGCTCCACGCCCGTGTAATAGCAACACCCCGTGTTTAAGACTTGAACCCGAGAGTGTTCATCCCTTTGAATAGTGGCGTGAAACCACTCTAGTAGATGATTTAAATGGTTTCACCCTGACGTAACTAAAATTTTATGGAGTCATGCTACGTGGTAGAAATTTCCTCGCCGGGGAGATAATATGTGGCCAAATTGCAAAATCGAATGTTTTTTTATTCCAGTGTAATGATAGCACCTATACTAAAATATTCCCATCATCTTGATAAATTCTAATAATAAATAAAATAAATAAAGTATACCCCTAATATAGTAAGATATATATATATATGTGATCTACTGGCTATCAGACATTACATTGGCGGTGGACGAATGGTAGCAGCAGCGTTATTGACAGAGCTCAGATGATATAACGGAAAATGTATTGTGAATGTAGTAGAAGCGACCTCTTGCGGTACAAGCACTAAGGAAGCGCCTCGGGGTTCAGTTCCGTGTAGATGCGAGCTAGCGCATGCGCGATCGCTTCTTGCTCCGAGTTAGAACGTCGCGTAAATCACCACGTCGTCTTCCTCTCATCTCGCCGCCGGCATATATTGACCGACGTCCGCCGACGCAGCTTCCCAGTTTTCCTCCGTAATAGCCTAGCGCGAGCGTGAGAGCGCCTGGTTCATTGCACAGAATAGCTAGAGCTGTCCTCGCATCACCACACGAGGCTAATAACTACAGAATCTAATAAGAGGCACAGGAGCCTTCGAGCCATCGCCATCGTCTGTCGGCGTCGCCGCCACGTTAGTTAGTATATTGCGGCTCGCGCGTGCTGCCCTCTCTCTCTCTGTCGCTCAGCTAGGATAGCAGGTTCCTGGTTTGTACAGGCAAGCGTCGTACGCAAATACGGTGCTAATATAATCTAATGTAATAATAGCTCGACGCTCGTCGCTCTGACTGCTTACACGGCGACCGTGAGTTGCTCCACTTGCGTGACGCCAGATGGCTCTGCGTTCGCCGCACTATTCGGCGCAGCGAGGTGCGTCGTCGGCGCCTTCGTGTAAACGACGACCGGCACCTCCTCTCCGCCGACGCCGGTGGTGGCGCCACCTCTGCGTAGACTCCCGCTGATCTTATCCATGATGTTCAGCTCGCTGCAGTTGCAGAGAATCTCGTTGAACTCCTTGCGAAAGTTGTCGTTCAGCCAGCCGTAGAGCAGCGGGTTCGAGCAGGCCGACGACATGCCCATCATGTGGCAGACAGCGAAGATAAGATTAGCGTCCCCTGGACTCAGCATCGTGCTCTGCGTGTCCCAGAACGTCACCAGATTGAAAATGTTCAGCGGCAGCCACGAGATCGCAAAGATGGCGGCGATGGCGATCAGCAACTGATTCGTCTTCTTCTTCCGCCGCCCCTCGAGCTCCTTCTTCCGCTGGTTGTGCATGGTCGTCTGCGACACCATGCGGTACTGCAGCTTGCGGCAGATGCTCCCGTACGCCGCCGTCGTGACGGCGATCGGCATCACGTACTGGAAGCCGACGGCGCAGACGGCGTACACGAACGGACCGTTCGGCACCGGCCACACGCTCTCTGCGCACACGTAGTAGAAGACGAGATCCGGCAGACCCATCGGATGCTTGGCGTGGTAGAGAAACATCGGCATCGCCAGTATGATCGACACGCCCCACAGGCTGCCCAGGATCAGTATCCCGCCCAGCTTCTGGCTGCTCTGTGTCGTCGGGTAGACGATCACCTGGTAGCGATCGAGCGCGATCGCTGTGATGCTCATGGTCGATACAAACACGTTGGTTGCTTCGAACGTGCAGACGAGCTTGCACATGAACTCGCCGAGCGGCCAGTTCTTCAGCACGTTCTGCATGAGCGTGAACGGCATCGTGAAGATGCAGAGCGTCAGGTCGGAGACAGCGAGGTTGATGATGAAGAGATTGCGCGCGGTGCGCATCGCCGGCTTGCGGATGACGGCGATGCAGACGAGGCTGTTGCCGAAGGCGCCGATGCAGATGAGGACGCAGTACATCGCTATGAGAATGTTCTGGGTGATGAGGTCGAACTTGCGAAACGACAGGTTGTCGAGAAAGTGTTGCATAAACGGAGCCTCGGTGTCGTTGCCGCTGTAGTAGTAGCCGCCGTTCGTTTGGTTGGCCGTCGGCGACCAGTTGGTGGCCGGCGCCTCACTGGCGCCACCTGCTGCCGTCGTCGGTTCCATTGCGCGGGGGTGTGGTGGATCAGTGCTGCTGTCTAGCGGCGAAACTGCGAAGAAGAAATTAGACGGGTTGTCTTTATTTGTTAGGCGGTGTGGGATGAGAACGATTAACGCATATATACGTGTAGCAGGAACGCATAGACACACACACATACGCTGCTGACACACGCACAAACACACACACGTACACACATGCACGCACACATACACACACAGGCAGTTCCCCACACACTCATGCACGCATACACATTTGTTTAACCCATTAAGTGTGAGAATCCGTGACGAAAGGAAATAGAGAGAGAAAGACAGACAGAGAGAGGGAGGGAGAAAGAGAGAAAGAGACGGAAGGAGAGAAAAAACGGGAAGGAGGAGAGAGAGAAAGAGAGAGAAAGAAAGGGAGAGAGAGAGAGAGAGAGATCGCGCGCACACACACAATCAGTGAGAGTTTCTCCCGTCCCGGCGACTCCCTTTCTCCGCATCAGCATGCCTCATCCTCCGCATATTGTATGCTCCTCCTTCCCTCCCCCCGGATTCCTTATCTAACGCCCTCCGTCTGTTCAACGACAGAACACTAATTGGATTGACTAGACTTATATGTCTCGCCGGGCAGCCATCTCTACTAATCACCCGAGTCCCTCCCCTCCCGCAGTCCTCATACTGTGTTCCTCACGCATCCTACCAGAATTCTACCTAGTAGCAGTAATTCCTCTAATGTGTGCCCAACCTGCAGTGCAATGTAGCCGTGTGTGGGGAAATTCTCTTAGACTACCTTTCTACCCAGTTATACCCAGTGCCAGCAACCCATCCTATAACGTGTGCCAAACCTTCTGCTTTTCCAACCTGACTACCTTTCTAGTTAACCGCCCTACCCATGCAGGCACGCCCGTCTGGTTTCACCAGAATTATTAAGTAAAAGAATTCCCAAACCCTGTATCTAACCTTCTATGCGAAGTGTATGAAAAGTCTCTTCGATTATCTCTCTACTCAACCGTCCGGCCCATGCACGCACGTCTGACTGTAAAGTGGCGACCTCTGGTGGAGTCCTGTTGGTAGACGCTTCAGGAATGCTGCACAGTAACACAGAAGCATGTATGAATAGATCTTGGGAAATGTACGCGGGTATGCGGAGACAATAGCATCAGAAGTGAGAGATTGTGTATGAAGTGAATAAGACAAAGTTTCTTAAACGAACAATTTCAATTTGTATTAAACTGTCTACGTCACGAATTTCTAGCACCAGCAAGTAGTATATTTGTGTGTTATTTGTACAAAATAAAATGTATGAAAATACAATTAGTGTTTCTGTTTACTTTTCATACTTATATACCTTCTTTATACTCCCTAATTTGCCGGTGCATTCGATGTAACAAAACGCTCAACACAAACACAATCGTCATTAATTCGAAACTTTTGCGTGGCGCCCAGACGCACGAGATTCGTGACGTGAACACAATGCGTTATAATAACAATGCGTCGCGCAAGCAATTATTGCCCGCTCAGGCAGGCACTATTGCTTCATAGTACCTGCGACGTTATCCAATGGAATTTCAACGATTTATCACGTGATGCATTAATATATAAATATAATATAATATTATACAATTATCGACCTGTGATGAGGTCGGTCCGTATAGTCACGTGTCGACCTCATCACAGGTGAGGTCGATAACCTTTTTATTATATGGTTAATAACGAAATCAAAAACAAATTGAATGTGTTAGTCAATAATTTAATTATACATTTAATAAATAAACAATAATACATAAATAAACAATTTAACTAAATAAATAACAACAAATAAATAATAATATATTTATCTTCTAATAACTTACACGGACCAATTGTACAGGCGTATCCATACAGCGGCGTACTTAAGCGGCAGCCCGGTGTGAGTATCAATTTGGAAACAGACATGCCGTCCAGCGATCAACGTGACCGACTTATTTCAGAGCTCGTCATGAGCGCAATCTCTGAATAACAGGGACCCTATTTGTAGCGATCGGCTTTGAAAAAATAGGGTTATGCTGCGCTTCCCGACATTCGTTTGTAAACTTTACGCTCTAATAAGAACGTTTTTATCGCAGGGGTGGAGAAGGACAACACCAATTTTGCATAAAGATATTTGTCCAATGATCTGTAAAACGAACCAGATGAGTGTGAACACCAACAGACTGGTTTGTGTTTAATAATAGCACGGCTTTCATTTTTAAAGGGCGCGACTCGCGCTCCAGCCGCTCCACCGCGCATCCAGAAATTGTTGCCATGGTGCGCGGCATCATCGCGCCTCAAAAATGGTTGAAATGCGCGCAGCTCAAAGTATAGTCTATACAAGTGAAAAGCGCCCATAGAGTTCTCAATGTAGGGGGTACAAAAAGAATTAGAACACACAACAAATGGTTGTGGTGTGTAGAAGTAACTGAACTTGGCAGAGGTAAACAGGTCGGGTTTACTACCCTCTGGATTATATATATAAGTATATAATAGTCAACGTACAACAACAGCAATCACAAATCCAGGTACCTATACCGTAGCCACAAGTTACCTGCTTCGTTTCTACTATACGTGGTCGAAAGTGGTTTTCTGCCGACGTGAAACAGTCGTAAGGGCTGAGGGGCACATACGTGGCTACTACGTACAAGTGAATTTGGCTAGGTTTGTTGATGGCATGTGATTACATTTTCGTGCTGTAACCATATGGCAGCGTACATGGATTAGAATCTCCTACAGATGGAAATGCCAGAAATAAAATTAAAACAAGTTTATTGTTTACCTCCGATCACTCTTTATTAATCGCTGTGTGAATGGATGAAAAACAAATGTAATCCCTGACGAACCATTGAATGAATGAAGGTGAAGAATGAATGATAAATCAGTAAGATTGACATGACATCCCAATTGTTTCTTTGGATTCGCTCAGATCCATCACACACCCCAAGTAGGCATGATGGACGACGGCCTCAAGGAGCTACTCCATCATCCCTTTTAAAGGTGTGATTTTTAGTGGAGCTCTCCCATCATGCCTCTTAAGGGTGTATTTTTTAGTGGAGCTCTCCATATGCTCGCCTCTTAAGGGTGTGATTATGAGGCGTGAAAAAAACCACCCTATGTGCTTAGGGGAGTCATTAGTCAAGTCACTCCCTGATACTTTTCAAATCTGAAAGCCTGCAACACACAGACACCGATATATATATACTATATATACATACACTACCACTAAATACATAGCATACCATCCATACATAAACATACATACATACATACATACATACATACAAGCATACATACATCATACATTACGTACGTAGCGTTTACGTACGTACGTACCGTACGTACGGTAGCATACATACATACATACATAACATACCATACATACATACATACTATACATAAACATATCATACATACATACATACCATACTACATACATCACATACGATACATTTATCGAGTATAACATATATAATACTCGAGTATATAAACATACCTAATACATTGTGCGCGCTGCACACACACACACACACAAGCACCGACACTTAACACCACCAGGCGGTGGCGCTAATAACTACAGAATCTAATAAAGGCACCGAGCCCTTCGAGCCCATCGCATCGTCTTCGGCGTCGCGCAGCCACGTAGTTAGTATATTGGTCGGCTCGCACGGCTGCCTCTCTCTCTCTCTCCTCAGCTAGACCTCGCAGTTCCTGTTGACAGCAGGCGTCGTACGCAAATCCGCGTGCTAATATAATCTAATAAAAACGCTCGACGCTCGTCGCTCTGACTGCTACACCGCGACCGGAGTCTCCACGCTGACGCCAATGCTCTGCAGTTCCCGCACATTCGCGCGCCGAGTCGTCGTCGCCCTTCGGTAAACGACGACGGCACCTCCTCTCCGGCCGGGACCCGTGCGTGCCCATCCTCTGCGTAACTCCCAGCTGATACTATCCATATGTCACGCTCGCTCATGCACGAGATCTCGTAACCCTTGCGAAGTTTACGCTCAGCCAGCCGCTAGAAGCACGTTCGAGCAGGCCACGACAACCCATCATGTGCAACACCGAACGAATAATAGCGCCCCCTGACTCAGCATCGCTCGCGTGCCAGAAACGTCACCAATGAAAAGTCACGCACGCCACGCGAACGCAAGTGCGGCGATGCGATCCACAGCTGATCCTTCTTCTTCGTCCCCCTCGAGCTCCTTCTTCCGCGTTTGCCATGACGTCGCTGACAGCCATGCGTACTGCACTTGCGGCAATGCTCCCTACGCCGCCGTCGTCGACGGCGATCGCTCACTACTGGAACCAGAACGGCGCAGACGCGGTACACGAACGACCGTCGCAGCGCGCCACACGCTCTCTGCGCACCACGTAATACAGAAGACAGATCGTCAGACCATCGATGCTTTGCGTAAGAAACACGCATCCGCCAGTAATCGAGCACCGCCCACAGCTCCCAGGATCAGTACCTACGCCAGTCTACGGCTGCTTGCGTATCGTCGGGTAGACGATCACCTGTAGCGATCGAGCGCGGCATCGCTGGATGGCCCATGTCGATACAAACACGTTTGCTCGAACGGCAAGACAGCTTGCACACATGAACCTCTCCGAGCGTTCCAGGTCTTCGCACCTCGCAGATCGGAACGCAATCCAGTGAAGATACAGAACCGCGCAAGGTCGGAGACAGCGAGGTGATGATGAAAATTGCGCGCGGCTGCGCCTCGCCCGCTGGCGGAATACGCATCAGACGAGCGTTGCCGAAGGCGCCGATCAGAGAGGACGCAGTACATCGCTATGAGCAATGTCTGGTGATGAGTCAGACGAACTTGCGAAAACGACAGTTGTCGAAAATGTTGCAAAACGGAGCCTCGGTGCCGTTGCGCGTTAGTAGCCGCCGTCGTTTGGTGCCGTGCGGCCGACGCAGATGGGGCGCGCACCTCACTGGTCCCACCTGCTGCCGTCTCGGTTTCCATGCGCGGGTTGTGATCAGTGCTGCGCTAACGCGAAAAGCT